TGAAGCTACTCTGTCCCACTTGGAGCATCATGGGAACTACGCACGCCTCTTCTTCGTTGATTTCAGCAGTGCCTTCAACACTATCCTCCCTGACAGACTGGTGAGCAAACTGTCAGACCTTGGACTCCCATACTTTTTTAGATAAAGGACTTCCTGACAGATCACAAACAAAGGGTCAGGGTGGGCCCCCACATTTCCTTAGCTGTCACCATTAGCACTGGCTCCCCCCAGGGCTGTGTTCTGAGCCCCCTGCTCTTTACGTTGTACACCCACAACTGTGCACCCGTTCATAACAGCAACATCATTGTGAAATTCGCAGATGACACCACTGTGGTGAGGCTCATATCAGAGGGAGATGAGTTTGCCTATAGGCACGAAGTGCAGCGGCTGACAGCGTGGTGCACAGAGAACAACCTGCTCCTGAACACAGCAAAGACAACAGAAATTGATGTGGATTTTAGGAAAAAGAAAACTGATATCAGTCCACTCTTCATCAATGGGGACTGCGTGGAGAGGGTGTCTGGTTTCCGCTTCCTGGGTGTACACATCACAGACCTGTCCTGACCTGTCCTGGGGTGTGAACACAACAGGGGTGGCAAAGAAGGCTCAGCAGAGACTTTATTTCCTGAGGGTCCTCAGAAAAAACAACATCTCACAAAAACTGCTGATGTCCTATCGCTGTTCCATAGAGAGCATCTTGTGCTACTGCTTCTGTGCATGGTTCTCTAACTGCACATCAGCACAGAGGAAATCACTCCAAAGGATTGTGGAGACCGCCCAGCAGATCGTCGGCTGTCGTTTGTCATCTCTGGATGAACTTCACAACTTTCGCTGCCTCAGGAGAGCGGAAAGCACCCTAAAAGATCCCTCACACCCTGCTCATGATTTGTTCCAACTACTGCCATCAGGCAAAAGATACAGGAGCATTAAAACGAGGACAAAAAGACTACACAGCAGCTTTTATCCTGTGGCTATCAGGGCACTGAATGGCAATTAACACCCCCACCCCAAATTCTTAATTCAATTTTATGTGCAATACTGCATATAATAAACTGGTGCAATATTATTATGTATATATTGTTAGCTGTCTTTCACACAATCAGTGTGAAATTATTCAAGTGCAGAGGTTCATGTGCAGTACTGCTCTCCCTTTTATATACATTTTAGATCCTTTTTTTTGTCTTTTTATATATATTTTTAATCTAATTATTTGTTTTAAATTTTGGACACGGGGATTGCATCTAATTTTGTTGTACTTGTTGCAATGACAATAAAGGTTATTCTAAATTCAAATCTCGTGAGAATTCAAGCAAGGTTAGAGAGCTGCGTCCCTTATGAAAAATAACTAGGAGCATATGTTTGGCAGGACACATCCACTTTTTGTCTCTGTTGTTACACACTCTTAAGAGCATCTTGAACAGCTGCACTCGTCTGCCTGTATAACCTTGGCCAGACTGTACTGCGGAGACAAATTTCTTAGCTTCAGGATGCTGGGCCACTGACAATAAAGTTGATTCTGATTTTGATTCTCGGTAATCACAGTAAAAACAAATTAAATCAGATTACAATACAAGCTGGGCATTATGCTTGACACAGAAAAATGTAACTAAGTTTATTTAAATCAGTGATGTTGTGGCAGGCCACTAGAAAGTTACACTAGCTGCACATAAGTAACAGGATGCAGGCTTGAGTGGCTATATCTAAATGTATGTTTTTTTTTTTTTTACTCATGTTGAAGTTACTGGTGAAACATTGAGTTGAGTTTTGTAACGGAATGAAATGACGGTTTTCCACCTAAAAGTCATTTCCCCCCCATCTCCTCAGCAAGAACTAATCTGCATGAGATATTGTTCAAGGTCTCATGCTTTTGCTTCTAAACTGTTTTCCTTTCCAGCGCAAGAGAAGAATGAAGACAAATAACTCTTTCTTTTTAATAAATCAAAGAACTCTATTTTTAATAAGCTAATCAAACAAAGTGTTAGTCAGTAATAAAATGTGAACCAATTTGTGAAATGAAAATATTAATTACTTGATATTATAATCCTGTAGAATATAATAAGTAATATAACTTTAAATGTTTCCACTAGAGACTGATCACACGTAAGGTTAAGCCACATAACACATTGCTTTTACTGATCCAATCAGAATCTGCCAGATCTGACGGAGGCGTGGTTTTGGTGGTGTTTGGTAAATCTGTCATCTTTTCATTCGACCGTGAATCAAAACATCCAAATCATAAAACTATGCCCATGTCATCTTTAACACCAGTTCAAAGTTTTCTAGAGAAGTTGTCGGAGTGGCCAATCCGTAACTTTCCTCTTCAGCCGAAAGAACCAATGACAAACTGGATAAAATCTGTTGCTGTTCCAACTGCTGCAATGGTTCCTTTCAGAATAAAAGCTGAACCATCACGACCCCGTTTTGGGTCTTGCTGTGTGCCAATAAACTGTCGTGACCCGGAAGTATCTCAAAGACTGGTCTGGTCGGCAACCGCTGCTTTTCCTACCAGCTTCGGTTCAAGAGAGGGTCAAGCTGGACCTCGACATTCCTGATCTAACGGGGACTTCCGAAAGGGTATGTAGACCGACAGAATGACGTCTCAATGTGGGTTATGAATCTCCAAATCAAAGCTTATTGCGAAGACATCACCTTCACTCCCATCAGAACTAATCGTTTCTCCGGATTTGCTGGTTCTGAACAACACTCCACACTACACCATTCTCCGTCTCACTTCACCTTAGTTACACCATACATTTAGTGTTTAAAGTTAGTCTAGTTTTAATTTGTTTAGTAATAAATCTTTAAACTTTTAAAACTTGACTCTCTTCTCGTCTCTCAGTCAATACGTAGCGTTACACAATCCCTGCAATAAAAAGTTCCAATCTTCTTAAAAGTACCCAAAGATCCATAAGATTGATTTCATATTTATTATGGAATATCATGTCTTATGGTTCATTAAATAATATGTAAATTAAACCCTTTAGAGTTTATTTTATTTAAAATACATTCAGCTTTGTTTATTTAATGCAGATTTTTGTGTTGCATTGTTTGGAAAAATGATCATAACACAACAGCAATCACTTGAAAGGTTTTGTAATACTATTTAAGGAACATATACTTTTTGGAAGTATTTGTTCATTTATGACAAAATTGCTTCACACAATGAAAGAATGACATTGCTGCTTAGGCTCCAGGCAGGGCACAGGGTCAGGGACTGAACAGAATCAGATTAGTTGTTCCTGTGTGCTCAAAAAGTTTTGTCAAATCATTCACACGTAGGTTTTCATTTCATTATCTGAAAGGATCTTTAGTCACAAAATGAAATATGTTTTGTTTAGTTTAAGCTTCAAAACAGGAACATCACTATTTTCTTATTAAAGTTTTACAATAGTGATGTATTCAAATATAGAGAGAGCAAATTGAGTATACCATGCGTGCTAATATAATTAGTATAGCATTTTTTAACAGTATGCATACTCACTGTGAACGTATCAGTGTGAAGTAATCGTATGGCAGTAGCTCTTCTGTACTTTCATGGTGTAAAAAAGCTTAGTCTCCAGAAGGTTGGAGACCCCTGCCTTAGATGTTTTCTCAGCTTGATGCATATCAATTATTTGATCCTTCCCAAACAGACTAACATGTTTTTGAAAGACATGAGATGTGTCTTTTGACATGGTTGCTTAAAAAATGAGGAGCAACTCCTTGCCCCAGTTGGGGTTTAATAACTTGTTGCCAGTTGAAATATATTCAATTAATTATCTAATATGAGGCTTGGACCTATTTGCTTAAGCCGGGCGGACACTGTGCGACTTTTTCACTCGTAGCGCTCAGCTTCAGCTCAAACTGTACGACTTCCTCGCAGGACAGATCTCACGAGTCATGCTCACTCTGCACAACCCAGTTCTCGGATGTGACTTGACTGCTCACAATGTATGTCTGGTAGCAACACGTCGGACCTAAAAATATGTTAAAAATAGCAGTTTTTACACGACTCGTCAGACTATTTCTTTTGTCTTGTTTTGCCTGTTGTCCTTCGGGAGTGCTGCAGGAGGACACACAGGGATTTATGGGGTTGGATGAGGAAAACGAAATAAAGAATGTCAATCTGTGTTTTGTGATCAGTTTCCTTTGATATGAACATGACGAACACACTTTCTTGACAATCCTTGTCATTGTGAGTAAAAGACGTGTAGAAATAAAAATGAACAATGTGTGTTATTAGGGAAATAGCGGGTGAGCGGTGTTGACGCATGATTGTGCATGCCCCATGAGCGGTTCTGGTACTTTTTGGGTCGCAGCCGCTCGCTGCACCTCTTCAACCCTCACGAGGAACGAGCAAAATATCAAACACTCCGATAGTCCGTGCGAGCTCACGATTGCTGATCGGTAGCTGGTCAGGTGGTGTTAATCGCCTCTCGTAACCCCCTGTAAACTACACGACGCTCAGTGCAAAACTCGCCCCGATCTTGTGGATTCTCGCACGAGTGGAAAATCGGCTCAAAAAAGTGAAAAAGTCGCACAGTGTCCGCCCGGCTTTAGTTAAATACAGGTGGCAACTTTCTTTTGGCCATGCACCAAGCTTTAAGTGGTTTTGAAATTAATTCAGAAGTGACAACAAAGGTTGTCCTGAATCAAATTGTATTTCTGAATGATTCAAAACAAATGAAACAAAGAAAAGAACTAACATTTCGACAGTCTTCGACAGAGTTACTCTGACAAAGACATTCTGTTGAAACGTTAGTTCTTTTAACTTGCACCAAATAAATTATAAGATTGAACCGAGTGCTCCGGCCCACTCCCCTTTTTGATCCTGGCCGTGAGAACTGGAACTCAACAGGATGCTGCGCAGATTGCCAGTTGTTTTGATTCAAAACAAATACCAAGCACAAATGTTCCCTTTCCTCACCACTAAAAACCCTCAAGGCCACCTTACTTGCAGCAGTGGTTCATAAACTAATCTACTTCACCTCATGCTCCTACTTTTTCTGTATTGGCAGAAGCTCCTAGAGTTGCAGAACTTCAACACACTGATGGCAGTGGTGGGGGGCCTCAGCAACAGCTCCATCTCTCGTCTCAAAGACACCCAGAATCACATCAGCACAGAGACAAACAAGGTGAGGCAGCTGCTTATCTGTTTCTAGGATCTGTAGTTATCTGCATGTCGATCCACTGATCCACTGAACATGTGATACTGAGTCTTGATTCAGCAGCTCACATGTTCTCGGCGAGAGCTGCTGAGTTGTGTATCTTCGCCCATTACTCTCGCACAGTGTCCTTTTAGAAGTATGAATTTGATTGGGGAGGACGGGGCAGGGTGTGTAGTAGTGATGTGACAGTCGCAAACAAAATGGCTCTCAGAGCCTGCTTGTTGATGTGACTGATGGGGGCTGGTCCCTCTTTAAGGAGCCAATGGAAGTGAACCAGACTGTGCTCGCAGGCCCTTGAGCTGCTAAAAAAATTGCAAAACACGCTCAAGTGCCTCTAGCCTCTTTTATTTTAAGACCGACCATCGCACCATTACAGAGTGATGAATCAGAATTTGTGGGTCTCGTAAATGCGGCAAGGAGCAAAGGGGAAAGTTGATAGATAGATCATAGATTGGTTGGCAAACGCTGTTCCATTTGTCCATTAAAGCTTCGTTGCTTCTTTGCAGTCTTCCAAGCCTATATTCGCCAGCTGCATTACCTGTCATTCTTTCCTTCCACATTTTTCCTTCCACCATTCCTTTTCACACTGTACACCTCAGACTTCCAGTACAAATCAGAGACCTGTCATCTACAGAAATACTCAAATGACTCTGCAGTTGTCGGGTGTACCAGAGATGGACAGGAAGCTGAGTACAAAGAGCTGGTGGAGTACTTTGTGGCATGGTGTGGAAACAATCATCTGACCTTGAACGTGAACAAAACAAAGGAGATGATTTTAGACTTCAGAAGAAACAGGGTGGAGTCGAACACTGTTCCCATCATGGGAGAAGAAGTGGAGGTGGTTGAGGAATACAAATACCTTGGAGTTCACCTGGACAACAGACTGGACTGGAGAAAGAACAGTGAAGCTGTTTACAAGAAGGGACAAAGCAGGCTGCACTTCTTGAGGACGCTTAGGTCCTTCAATGTCTGTAGCAAGATGCTGCAGATCTTCTACAAGTCTGTTGTTAAGAGTGTAATCTCTTCAGCCATCGTCTGTTGGGGCAGCAGCATCAGAAGCAGGGACCTGAAAAGGCTCAACAGCCTGATAAAACAGGCTGGTTCTGTTCTGGGGACGACTGTGGAACCACTGGAGGAGATAATGCAAAGAAGGATTCTCCAGAGAATCAAGAAAATGATGGACAACCCTGAGCATTCTCTTCACAAGACTGTCCGACAACGGAAGAGTGTCTTCAGTCAGAGGCTTCTTCAGTTTGGCTGCAACACTGGCCGCTACAGGAGATCCTTCCTGCCAACAGCCATTGTAATATACAATAACTCTTTGATTACTTGATTATTATTATTATTCTGAGCTACTACAGCAATCAATTTCCCTCTGGAATTAATAAAGTATTTTTGAATTGAATTAATTGAATTGAATTGAATTTGTTGAGACTATTTGAGGATCCCTCCAATATCTCAACAACAGACAGGCATATGTTACAAATCCTGTATTAATAACTCTGAAAGATTCTTTGTCTATCTGCGGAACCATACTTCTGTCTCCTTTTATTCTATTTTTAATCTTATTATTCATGTTATATGTAGCACATTAGTACCGATGCAAGTTCCTAGTTTGTGAATTGTTTGTTCACTGACAATGGCAATAAACCTATTCTGATTCTGATTTTGATTCTGATTCTAACAAACACAGCCTTGGTGTACAGGGTAGGTTGCATCCTCACCATGTCTCCAAAAATCTCACAACCTCTTTTCACCCAGGGAGCCCCTCTTCACAACTCCAGATAGCATGTAAAAATGTCCCCCTTTCCTTCCCACATTTCCAGCATAGGTCATCCCTACCAATACCCATTAACCTGTGTGTGTGTGTGTGTGTGTGTGTGTGTGTGTGTGTGTGTGTGTGTGTGTGTGTGTGTGTGTGTGTGTGTGTGTATGTGTGTGTGTGTGTGTGTGTGTGTGTGTGTGTGTGTGTGTGTGTGTGTGTGTGTGTGTGCGTGCGTGTCCTCACAGCAGTGAGGGACAGAGAAAAACAACTTTAGTCAGAGGCTTTTTAACTCCACACCATCCAGAAAGATAATGAATCGTGCAAGTGGGAAGCCCCTGCGGGCTGATCCTATCTACTAGTCCGAGACTCCCCCTATTGGTAGGCATGCTTTTGAGCTAGCCAGTCAGTCAGCATTGGGCGTGTCGGCCCTGTTCGGCTCCAGGCAGACCACCTCAAGAATAGGGCTGAAAAAACGTCTTGTCACGCTCAGGAAAATTCAAAGCTACCTCCATCCATCCATTCATCCATTTTCAGCCACTAATTCAGAGTTGGGTTGCGGGGGCAGTAGCCTAAGCCGAGACACCCAGACTTCCCTCTCCCCAGCTACTTGGGCCAGCTCTTTCGGGGGAATCCCAAGGTGTTCCCTGGCCAGCTGAGAGACATGGTCCCTCCAGTGTGTCCTTGGTCTACGTTTAGGTCTCCTCCCAGTTGGACATGCCCAGAAAACCTCACCAGGAGAAATCTTGACCAGATGTCCGAGCCATCTCGACTGGCTCCTCTCGACGTGGAGGAGCAGCGGGTCTACTCTGAGTCTGTCCCGGATGGCCGAGCTTCTCACCCTATCGCTAAGAGAGAGCCCAGCCAGCCTACTGAGAAAACTCATTTTGGCCGCTTGTATCCACGATCTTGTTTTTTCGGTCACTACCCAAAGCTTGTGACCATAGGTGAGGGTATGAACGTAGATCGACCGGTAAATTGATAGCTTTGCGTTTTGGCTCAGCTCTCTCTTCACCACGACAGATCGGTACATAACTGCAGACGCAGCATCAATCTGCCTATCGATCTCACGCTCCATTTTTCCCTCATTCGTTAACAAGACCACGAGATACTGAAACTTCTCCACTCATCCCTGACCTGGAGAAGGCATTCTACCCTTTTCCAATTTAGAACCATGGACTCGGATTTAGAGGAGCTAATTCTCATTGCAGCCACTTCACAGTCTTACTGCAAACCACTCCAGCAAAGGTTGGAGATCACTGTCTGATGAAGCCAGCAGGACCACATCATCTGCAAAAAGAAGAGACTTGATCCTTAGGCCACCAAAAAAGATCCCTTCAACACCTTGGCTGTGCCTAGACCCTAGACTCTGCAAAGATCACCCTAAGGGTACAGAGCTAGTCCAGTGTTCCACGGACAGGACAGAAACCACATGGTTCCTCCTAAATTCGATGTTCGACAATCCGTTGGACCATCCTCTCCAGAATCCCTGAATAGAATTCCACCATGACAGGCAACCCTGTGGCCACAGCTCCAGTCAGCTGCCTCAACAATAGAAGCACGGAACATGGCCCACTCAGACTCAATGTCCCCCGCTTCCCTCGGAACATGTTCGAAGTTCTGTCAGAGGTGGGAATTGAAGCTCCCTCTGACAGGAGACTTGGCCAGACGTTCCCAGCAGACCAGGTCTGACTGGCTTCCTCCGCCACCATCGAAGCCAACTCACCACCAGATAGTAGTGGTCAGTTGACAGCTCCGCCCCTCTCTTCACTCGGGCGGTATTCAAGACATGTGGCCGCAGATCAGATGAAGCAACAACAAAGTCAATCATTGAACTGCGGCCTAAGGTATCCTGGTGCCAAGACCACATCTGAGCACCTTTATGCTAGAAAATGGTGTTTGTATGGGAATATCCCTGATGTGCACAGAAGTCCAATAACAAAACAAGTTCCGATTCAGATCAGCAGGGCCACTCCTCCCAACCACACCTCTCCAGGTCTCAATGCCATTGCCCACATGAGCATTAAAGTCCCCCAGCAGAACGAGGGAGTCACTTGAAGAAGTGCTCTCCAGCAATCCCTCCAAGGACTCCAGAAAAGGGTGGGTAGTATGAACTGCAGCTTGGTGCATGAGCACAAACCAAAGTCAGGATCCATCCCCCCATACAAAGGCGGAGGAAGGCTACCCTCTTGTTCACAGGGGTACTAAGATGAGGGGCAAAAAGTATGCCCACCCCTGCTCGACGCCTCTCATTAGGAGCAACTCTAGAGTGGTAGAAAGTCCCTTTCAAGGAAACTGGTTTCAGAGCCATGCGTTGAGGTGAGTCCAACTATACAGCACCTCTCAACCTCAACCACCAACTCCGGCTTTACTCACCAGAGAGGTGACATTCCACGTACTAAGAGCTAGTTTTTGTAGCCTAGGATCAGACCGCCATGGTCTCTGCCTTCGGCTATCACCTGACACACACCGCACCCAACCCCTTTGGCCCCTCCCACGAGTGGCCAGGTCATGGAAAGGGGTACCCATGTGCCCTCTTCGGGCTGTGCCCAGCTGGGCTCCATGGGTGACTCGCGAACGTGCCTCAACTCCATGCCTGGCTCCAGAAGGGGGCGCCGGTGACCCTTGGCGAGGCAACACTGTTTCCATTTGTCGTGTTCTTCATCAGGAGTCTTTGGGCTGCACTTTTTCGGATGGCCTTTTATTGTGGGCAGTCTGAGGCACACCTGTACATTATTTTTGCTGTCTTAATCTCCTTGATATGCCACACTTGTGAAGTGGGATAGATTATCTTGATAAAGGAAAAGTGCTCACTAACACACACGTAGAAGGATTTCAGAACAATATTTGAGAGTCATGGGTGTTTTGTGCATTTAGAAAAATTTTCAGATGTTTGAGTTCAGCTCATGAAAAATGGGAGCAAAAACAAAAGAGTTGCATTTATATTTTTGTTCAGTGAAGTAAAAAAAATAAATTTCAACCCCAGGGTGTTATTGTAGTATATAACCAAAGTGTATATCTGTTTTTAAAAGTTTTACAAATGTTTATTTTCATGCAGAAAATTAAAGAAAACTAAGTGATCAAATATGGACATTGGCCCTGTTCTGGTAAAAGTAAAATAACATGAACAATTTAAATAAACATTGTTTTTAAATCATATAGATGATTATAATAAACTTTGGAATAATCTAGCCTATTTTAAAACATTGTATCAATGTAGAATAATACAAAATACCTCACAATAATACATTACATTAATTAAATACTATAGTATATTTTTCTAAAAACAGATTACTGTAGAATGTTTTTGAAAGGTATTGCACAATATATACCATTTCTGATCAAATATAGATTATTAGAATATTTTATAATAAATATCAATATACAGTAGAATATTAAATGTAGATGTTGGTCCTATAAAGGGTCAAAGGTAAATATGGTTTATATATCTGTTTCCTCTCCTAGAGCTTATGTCCTGCTCTTCAGCCTCACGGTCTAAAGGAATTTCCCAGTGCGTTCCCAGAGAAATCTAAAACCTGTAAAAACATTAACACAAAAGTATTCCTGTGGAACTTGCAGTTAAGAGAACAAATGCTCACCTGAAGAGCATTTAAAACATGCCACACAAGACAAGCAAAGGGTAAAAAAGAAGCAAGAGCTACTCTAGCTTGCTGCTACTCATGCCGCACCGCGAAAGGGAGTTGCGAGAAGTTCAACAGTGCTGTCAATGACAACTTTTCACATTCTCACTGTTGTTCTGACATGGTTCAAAGATTGTCGGTCCTCTGGGGCCCCCTTTGTCCTGGGGGCCCTTGTAAACTACAGTTCTGACAATGATTCGATAAGCTGAGAAGCTTCGATATCGGGGAGGGGCTCGTAGTAGAGCTACTGCTCCTCCAGCACCAGATCTGATTTTATACCAATTTCAAAATTACAGCACAAACAAGGGCTCTTTGAATTGACTTTTTTAGGCACATAATTCTTAAAACTAAACACTGACAGAAAACAGATGAACAGTGTTTATAGTAGTTTATGACTACAAATCATAAATATATTTAATTAATCTGACTAATCTGTTCATTCTTTCACTTATAAATGTTATTCTCCTTGATCTGTTTATCTTCAGGTTTTTAACAACTTAATTGAACTAGTGACGTCATGTGGAAACTACAGCAGGTACCGCAAGAGCTTCTCTGAGTGTTCGGGCTTCAGATTCCCCATTCTTGGCGTGCACCTCAAAGACCTGATCGCCGTTCATGTGGCACTACCCGATTGGGAAGACAAAGAGAAGATGCGGGTTAATCTGCCCAAAACCCAACAACTGTACACCATCCTTCAGGAGCTGGCGATCATCCAGAACACACCTCCAAACATAGACGCAAACACGGATCTACTCAATTTGCTCACAGTGAGTCTCAAAACCAGACAGTATGTGTTGGAATCCAGGGAAAATGTGTGGATTAGCCCATCTGAAAGATCTGGTGTGAAACAAAAACATGAGTGAAAGCAGGCAACAAACCTTGTTAAAGGTTTTGTGTGCATTCTTTGAGCCTACACACACAATGAAATGATGGTGAACACACCAAAGAGCATGCCTGTTTCAGACACAGACTTTCTCCTGCTGTGATCTGACTGAGTTCTGAACGAAACACACTTGTAGCAAATCTGTGCATGGACTCAGGCCAGACATTTAATCTAGACAAAAAGAGTCATAACATGAAACATGAATGAGGAAAACATTTAAATAAAGTAGTCACAGTAACCAGTGTTTCACATTTATTTTATTATCAAGAACAGCCACTGTTTTTCTCTTTCTTATTCATCTTCTCTCTCCCTTTTCTTACATTTTTGTTTCTCTTTTTAAACATTTTAATGATTTAGAAATCTTTTTATACTTTCCTTTTTTTGTGAAGCGCCTCGTGATTTTTATCTTGAGAGGCGCAATATAAAAGATCATTTTCTTTTCTTTTTTCTTTCTTTTAGATTTTGTGCTCCAGATATAGTCTAAAATCACATCATAACACTTTAGTAGGACATAGGATAAACATATGTGTGTCTTACCTGAGTAAAAAATATAATAAAACTGACCAGTTTTGCACAACTGTGTGCAGCAGGGCTTCTAGAATAATGAAAACAGGTGAAAAATATGTCTAAATCATAATCAGCTTTGAATTAAATATTGATTAAATGATACACATTTAAAAAGATCAGCAGGAATCTGACCCGTTAAGAACCAGGGAGTAGAGACAATAATCATGACGCACTGACTTTAAAACCTTCATCTTAAACATGTTCAGTTAAAACCTGTTAAAAACAAGTTCCTACTTTTTAAACCAACAGCATAACAGCATAAGCCCATCTATATGTTTATGTGCATCGGGCCGATATTTAGCATTTTTTCATCATCGGCCGATAAGTCTCTTTAATAGAACCAATTTAAAGTCAGTCACCTCCGCCGGCAGCCCGCCGGTGAAGGACCCCATCCAAAACCCTGGGAGTATTTACCTCTGAGTAAAAGGTAAGGCGTCTCTTTGGTGTTTCTAAACCATACAGCTGTATATTTTGTACATGGGGGGGGGGGGGGGGGGGGGGGGGGTTGGGTGTTTGCTGGAGCTTTTGACAATTAAAATTGCGCCCACATTTTGAAAGTTAAACGCATCTCCTTCAACAACGGTAGTTTCTGCATCTCTACTGTTCCCCTGCTTCAGCCCCCCCCCCCCCCCCCCCCCCCCCCCCCCCCACGCAGCGGCCACAAGCTCACTGGTGCACTTGCAGCCTCTAAGAGTTTCTGCTGCTCTAAACATTAAAATATTTATTTCATTTTCTGTTCCTCACTTCTGATTACCTTCAATGGTGTCTGTTTGTTGCAACCACCAGGTACAAAAACTAACTTTGTTTTTATTTGACTATTTTTCTGTCCTGTCTCTGTTTATTATCTTCCTGCATCTCCTCTCAATCCTAAAGAAAAGCTGCTACCTGGCTTCATATATGATCACCTTATGAGTTACCTTTGAACTGCAGTTCTAAAAGATCTACCGACCGCAAAAACAGCGGAGTGCGCGCTGTGCACTGACCGCACCAGTGCGGTGCGTCACCGGAGGACATAACAGGTGATGCGCTCCGCTCCACGCATCAGGCACAAATAAAAGACAGAAAACATAAAAAGAAATGAGCCGACATGAACGATTGTGTGTTAAATTTGTTTTTGAGGTGGCGACACTTAATTTGATAATGTTACTGTGGTCGTACTCGGGACGCAGATGTCTGGAGCGCGTCAACAATCAGAGCTTTGCATGCGCAAGCTGGTTAAGGTTAGGATGGGGGTGAGCAGGGTTCCCACGCGTCCTGGAAAACCTGGAAAACCTGGAAAATGATAGTCCAATTTTCCAGTCATGGAAAACACATGGAAAATGGGGGGAATTGCAAAATGTCCTGGAAATTTTTGAGTTGTCCTGGAAAATAATTTTCCATCCTTGTGGATAAACAAATGGATTAAACATTTTGGGCAATATTGGGCTGTAGTGCTTCTCCTTTAATTTCTGCATCTAGCTGGCACAGCGCCCCACATGACGCTTCCAACCAATCAGATTGCATAATCCCCTTCAGTTCCAGTTCCACTTCTGTTTTTCCAACCGTCTTTTTGGCTAGATTTACAGATTTTTCACCCCTAGATTTATTTCTCTAAAGAAGGGCCAAAAGTAGCGACTCGGTTCGCGAGTATTGCGTTATCGCAGTTTATAGAGCGAGAGGTTTTTCTCCTTCTCTCTGTTGAGTGACAAAGGAGCAGCGGAGAGCTTTTGTTTTTTTCACTCATGCGATGAGACGAGTGAACTTGAGCAGAGCTTCAGGATAGCAACGGAAAGCAGGTGGTCTACTGGACCCGCGCTCCACTCAGTAATTCATACTTGTTCTATCGTCCAACAGCAGAAACAAAAATATGTGAATGATTAAAAATGTCATGAATTTGATTCTATCAAAATACTAAGTATGTGCTCAGAGGACAGAGCCTCAGCTGTTCATACTGTTTTTAGCTAGCTACACAGACCGCAGCCAGGTGGCAGTGAGAACTGGACTGGCATGGTCATTGAACAAAGTTGTTAACGTAATTAAATTGAATTCAACACGGCTAAATTAATAACTAGAATGATTTTAAGTGGTAACTATATATTTATCATAGTAATGTTACGTACAGTCCAGACTAAAATGGTAGCGAACAACTACAAGTACTTATCTCTGAGGTAGAAAAAAATATTTTTCAGGTCCAATATGTCTGTGGTGTTAGCGGGAGATATTAGCCTAGTCATCTATCCTGAATCTTGTTTCTGGATGACTGGACTAACCTAAAATGACCAATACTGGAACAACAAAATGCAGTTTAACATCCAACTATGTGGAATAAGCAGTAAAGTGTAATGTGGTGTGTACAGTAAGTATAATACATAGAATATGAAAGATATGAAAAAGCTAAGGTTTGAAAAGTAGGCCTAATTTATTGTATAAACAGTAACAATCTTTCAAAATATGTCTTTGTGTCCTTTATAGGCAGGAGTGAGTGATGTCAGGAAGATGGTGCCAATTCAAAACTTTTCAAAACTGGCTTTTTGCTAGCCCCAAGACACTCTGCCTGTGTGTTGGGGTTTACCCCAGTGGACGAGAGGGTAGCTTCCCTGTGCCTTCGGGTCGGGGAACGGGTCCTGACTGTAGTTTGCGCTTATGGGCTAAATACCAGTTCAGAGTACCCACCCTTTTTGAAATCCCTGGGACGAGTGCTAGATAGTGCTCCATCAGGGGACTCCATTGTCCTGCTGGGGGACTTCAATGCTCACCTGGGCAATGACAGCATGACCTGGAGGGGTGTGATTGGGAGGGACGGCCCGCCTGATCTGAACTCAAGTGGTGTTTCATTATTGGACTTCTGTGCAAGCCGCAGTTTGGCCATAACGAACACCATGTTCGAACATAAGGATGCCCATCGGTACACTTGGTACCAGGGCAGCCTAGGTCGCAAGTCGATGATAGACTTTGTAGTCTTATCATCTGACCTACGGCCGTATGTTTTGGATACCCGAGTGAAGAGAGGAGCGGAGCTGTCAACTGATCACCACCTGGTGGTGAGTTGGATCAGATGGCAGGGGAAGATGCTGCGTAGACCTGGCAGACCCAAACGCATAGTGAGGGTCTGCTGGGAACGCCTGGCAGAAGACCCTGTCAAGACGGTCTTCAACTCCCACCTCCGGCAGAGCTATGACCGTGTCCCGAGAGCAGTGGGGGACATTGACTCCGAGCGGGCCTTCTTCCACTCTGCGATTGTTGAGGCGGCTGTTGCTAGCTGTGGTCGCAAGGTGGCCGGTGCCAGTTGTGGTGGTAACCCCCGTACCCGCTGGTGGACACCAGAGGTTCGGGGAGCCGTCAGGCTGAAGAAGGAGGCCTACAAGGCGTGGCTGGTCTGTGGGTCTCCGGAGGCAGCAGATAGGTACCGGATATCCAAGCGGGGTGCAGCAGTAGCAGTTGCCAAGGCAAAATCTCGGGCGTGGGAGGAGTTTGGTCAGGCCATGGAGAAAGACTATCGATCGGCTCCAAAGAGGTTCTGGCAAACTGTCCGACGCCTCAGGAGAGGAAGACAGCAACTCGCTCACACTGTTTACAGTGGGGATGGGGAGCTGCTGACATCAACTGGGGCTATGGTCGGATGGTGGAAGGAATACTTTGAGGAGCTCCTCAATCCCACCTACGCGCATTCCGAGGAGGAACCAGATCCAGGAGACATGGGGATGGACTGTCCAATCTTGGGGGCAGAAGTTGCTGAGGTAGTCAAACAACTACACAGCGGCAGAGCCCCAGGGGTGGATGAGATTCATCCTGGGTATCTCAAGGCTATGGATGTTGTAGGACTGTCATGGTTGACATGTCTCTGCAACATTTCGTGGTCATCGGGGGCAGTTCCTGTGGAGTGGCAGACTGGGGTGGTGGCCCCCATCTTTTAGAAGGGTGACCAGAGGGTGTGTTCCAACTATAGGGGGATCACACTCCTCAGCCTCCCTGGAAAAGTACTGGAGAGGAGGGTCCGATCGATAGTCGAATCTCAGATTGAGGAGGAGCAATGTGGTTTTCGTCCTGGCCGTGGAACTGTGGACCAGCTCTATACCCTTGCAAGGGTGATGGAGGGGCATGGGAGTTTGCCCAACCAATCCACATGTGTTTTGTGGATTTGGAGAAGGTTTATGACTGTGTCCCCAGGGGCACTCTGTGGGGGATGCTCCAGGAGTATGAGGTGGGTGGCTTTCTGTTTAGGACCATTCAGTCCCTTTACCAGAGGAGCGTGAGTTTGGTCCGCATAGCCGGTAGTAAGTTGGACCTGTTCCCGATGAGGGTTGGACTCCGCCAGGGCTGCCCTTTGTCACTGGTTCTGTTCATTACCTTTATGGACATAATTTCTAGGCGCAGCCGTGGTGTGGAGTGTGTCAAGTTTGATGGCAGGAGAATCTTGTCTTTGCTTTTTGTGGATGATGTGGTCCTCCTAGCTTCATCCAGCTCTGACCTTCAGCTCTTGCTGGGTAGGTTCGCGGCTGAGTGTGAAGCGGCTGGGATGAGGATCAGCACCTCCAAATCTGAGACCATGGTTCTCGACGGGCAAAGGGTGGCTTGCCAACTCCGGGTCGGGAGAGAGGTCCTACCTCAAGTGGAGGAGTTTAAGTATTTCAGGGTTTTGTTCACGAGTGAGGGTAGGAGGGATCGGGAGATCGACAGGCGGGTTGGTTCGGCGTCTGCAGTGCTGCGGACGTTGAGCCGATCTGTCGTGGTGAAGAGGGAGCTGAGCCAGAAAGCCAGGCTCTCGATTTACTGGTCAATCTACGTCCCAATCCTCACCTATGGTCATGGGCTTTGGGTAATGACCGAAAGAACGAGATTGCGGATACAAGCGACCGAAATGAGTTTCCTCCATAGGGTGGCCGGGCTCAGCCTTAGAGATAGGGTGAGGAGCTCGGACATTCGGGAGGGACTCTGAGTAGAACCGCTGCTCCTCCAGATTGAAAGGAGTCAGTTGAGGTGGTTTGGGCATCTGGTCAGGATGCCCCCTGGACGCCTCCCTGGGGAGGTGTTTCGGGCATGTCCTGCCGGCAGGAGGCCCCCGGGTCGACCCAGGACACGTTGGAGAGGTTGCATCTCCAATCTGGTCCGGGAACGCCTTGGGGTCCTGGTGGAGGTGGCTGGGGAGAGGACGGTCTGGAGCTCCCTAGTTGGGATGCTGCCCCCGCGACCCAGACCCGGATAAGCGGAGGAAGACGACGACGATTTCATTCAGCACAGTGGATTTACCTGGTTCAGTTGCTGAGCAGAACAAAAACAGGACATGGAGATGACTTGATGATGCCACAATGTCACACCTCTGATATGAACTAAAGTAGAGAATAACTTCTGTTTTAGTTGTGTTGCATTGTAAGTAGAGGAAAGCAGGTGGGCTTGTGAAAGACAAAAATCTTTCCACAACTATATTGTCAAAATAACGGTGTGGGTAGGTACAATATCATATCTGTTTCTAAATATATCGGGATATCGGCAAACCGCAGTTATGATAACTTGACTTGTACACTGAAAAAGTCTTGAAAATGTCCTGGAAAAGTCCTGGAAAATTATTTCAAGAAAAGAGTGGGAACCCTGGGTGAGGGGAAGGTTAAATTGCAAGAGGCCTTGAGCACTCAGATGAGTTCTTCTGCCATCCCGAAGATCAATGAATCACAACACCGC